TTTTTTAACCTAGGTAGCCCAGTGTGCTACCTGGATTTTAAGAATGCCCCTCCCTCCAAATCATGCCCACTTGCACCACTATATCCGGCAGATGCTTTTTTTAAATTTTAGGTATTAATCATTTAATGGCTATTACTAGTATAAGTTAACTAAAGGCTGTTGTCAAAGGCTTATGTATGTAACATTACTTAATTTGAGGAAAGTAGTAACTTATAGGTGGGCAACCTAAAATTCTGATGGGCAACTTGGTTCAAAAAAGTATTTTGTACACTGACTCCAAAAAGTGATTACTCCAAAGTCTGTTTCACATGGTTTAAAGGGTCACCAGAAATTTTAGATGATACAAAAAGTCAATTTTCTGGTCACCAAATTTCTTTACCAAGTAAATGGAATAAACCCTACTCTGTTGCAAGTACATCGTAAGTGCCTAATTCAAGAAGTGGAGGTGCCAAAATAAGATGCCTTAGGAGTGCTGGAAGCACAACTGTCAGCCATGTTTGTTTACATTCTGGTAGTCTGTGGTGGCACCACAAAATGGTGGTGAGTTTGTGGTGGTACCATAAACTGACTGCGCCTGGTGTGGACTGTTTTAGCACCAATCATAAATGTCAGAAATGTGAGATAACTGCACAAATATGTTGAAAAGGGGAAGTATATTACAATCACATGAAAATGTTTTCAATTGCCCTATTTTGACGTAAGTATTCTTTATTGAGGCAGCCTCTCAGCATAAAACTACCAAATACTCAATATTTAATCATTGACAGTTGGTCTGCAGCTACTCATGATCATACAAAGAGCTCCTATGACACACAGACTCTTAATCTGAGCTTTGGACTAACAAGTATGACTATGAGTATGAGATTCACTTTCTATCCTAATGCTTTTTTAGTCATTTATTAGGTCCAGGAAAAAAATTGTTGTGTTTCCTGTTTGCTGACTGACCCAAGAAAAACTGCCCACCAACTTGGCACCAAGGCATTAATTTTTTGAGCTGATTGACCTTTTCTACCTCCATGATCTGATACCTGAGTGATGAAACGTTGTACAATCGGTTTTCCAACATACATTGTAGACATTGAAAATATAAGTGTCCTCATGTATTGGATCACTACAGATTGCCAAAATCTAAAAAAAAAGATAATCCCTGCCAACGTTAACTGAACCTATTTTTTTCAGGACTGAAACAGTTCAGTTCAGTTCAGTTCAGTTCAGTTCATCCTTCAGGTGACACCATGTACTGTCTCCACAAGTTCCTGTCACGAAAACACATTTTTTCCTGGGCCTTACGTACATATTTTTCTAGTTTCATGATCTGACACCTGAGTGATGAAACGTTGTACAATCGGTTTTCAAACATACATTGTAGACACTAGAACAGTAAAAGGCAAAGTCCTTTGAGAGCAGAAGGGATGACAAAGTCTTTCACAGACATACACCAGTGATCAGGCATGATACGCCCTGTCACTGCACTTTGTATGTCAAACAGTCGTGATGTAGGGATACAGAAGTGGCCATTAGCGAGGAGAGGCAAGGATAAGTGGTCGTGTTACTTACACATGGCTGACCGCCCCAAGGACACGTAACCAACGCTAACACTTACAGTCACAATGACGTCAGATGACAATGTACTGTATATCACTTAATGTTCGTGGTAGAAAAATCTGAGCAAAATAGACATGTTCGCAGAACTACAGTATATGTTCACGGTGACATCAGATGCAGAAGAAAGTCGGCAAATTATTTGTTCACAGTAATGATAAGTTTATGAGACAGAAGTGACTGCAAAAACTGCGAAATAAAAGTACCATTAAAAATTGTGATTTACAGTATATGTTGCACTGGACTTCTGCTCCATTGAAGTAGAACTTACTGCATTAAGATTACAAACAAATGTTTTTCACAGTGCAGATATCAAAAAAAGCTTAGTCAACAATCAGGATCAGACACTGCCATGGAATAGACTTACTATCTTACGAACTCACTCTTGCTATCTTATCTTACTTATCTTGCTATCTACATTACGCTGAACACAATCTTTAAACTACTTTTCGGTATATTTAAGGAAAGAGTGATTTGAATATATATGAAAAGATAAATTGAAAGATTAATTGTAACTCCTAGGAATAATTCAGTCAATGGAATTTATTTATTACTAGTACTAGGCTGTCTGCTGTTTTGCAAGGCATAATATTAAAAGACAACACAATTGGCATTTGGTCTCCTTTTTAAATCATTTGAAATACAAATTGTGATGTCACAATATGGTCAATAAGAGAAGGCATTTTAGACAAATTTTTACTTACATTCATGAAATTTTGACGTGATGATTCTACTATCTAAAGAAGCACTATAGTATAGCTCTACATTTGTAGACAATCATGTAGTATGGAAACAAAACCATCACTGGCACGGATTGCAACTTATTCCCTTGGCCTTCTGATTTCCAAGAAAATTTTCTGCCTTCCAGTAAACAGACAAGATGTTAGTTCTGGATCTGACCTAACAGAGATGATAAATTTTAAAAATTGAATGTTAGGCAGCTATGATACGTGAATCATATACATTAGGCTGTCTGAGAAAGTATGCGTATTGTAAATGGCTTCATAAGTAAACTAGAGTTCCCCGATCTCATACCTTCGCCAAATGATGTTAAACTTTATGACTGACAAATTATAGATTAGATTATTCCCCCCCCCCGGTTTTAAGAAATAGGAACCTAATTTTCATGAATTATATCATTTTATCATAATCTCAACCAAAAGACAGTCTTATATTAACAAACAATGCATTCTAGCATTTCCTAATAAATTATGCAAATGAGGTCCTGATTTGAATAAATTATGTTTAATGATGTTCACGTCAACTGAACTTTCAAATACCACAAGTATGAAATTCCAGGCAGTTATCATTACATAATTATAAAATTTTCTCATTAATTATGCAAATTAAGTCATTATTAACATAATCAATATCTTCCTGTGTTTCTCTCATTGTCAATTGCCAATGTCACAAGCTTCAATTGTCCTATCATGGAATGCAGCTGATTTATAGAATTTCCCCATAAATTATGCAAATTACATCCATATTTGCATAATTGTCACATAATTATATTAAACATCGCGTAAGCTACCTACATACCAAAAATCATGACGATCCGTCAATCGGTTCTTGAGTTATCCCCTTTTGAATATTTTCAAGAATATATCCCTGCAGTTCTAGAGCAAGCCGCTAGGGGGCCCAAACTCACGTCACTTCTTCCCCAGCACAAGAGGTACCTACCATCCAAATTTTGTCACTCTAGCATGTCTAGATCATGAGATATCAAAACCGGAAGTTCAGCTGCAGTACCATAACAAGCCGCTAGGGGGCCCAAAATCTAATCATTTTGAGGTCTCATCAAGACCTACCCACCTACCAAGTATCAAGACAATCCATCAAGGCCTTCTCAAGTTATCGTGTTTACAGACAGACAGACAGACAGACAGACACACACACACACACACACATACACGAATGCCCCTGAAAACATAACCTTCTTGGCGAAGGTAATAACTGGGTCAGCTGCACTCTGGGACTATATCCATGGCTACAAAGTGTTCAGTAACAAACTGTGTGGAGACAGATATATTTCAGAAAGTATTTATGGGAAAAGTTTTTGATGGTTTCCCACGTCACTTACTGTATACGTAATTCCTGACTTTTTTCGAGGTTACTTTCATGTTCATTGTTTTTGTGGTCACTTATGTACGATGAACTTAACGCCACTGTGAACATATAGTTCCATCAACACCTTCATTTTTCTCAGCCCTCAGCTTTGCTGCAGTCTTACCTCTAGCCTCCATAGCATGCCAAAAACTGGGGGTTTGGGGGGGGGGGTCTTCAGGGTCTTTGGGATCTTTTATGTGCTATTTTCTGATTGCATATTATTATCAATTTTTAAAAAGACAACATAGCCGGCCTGGTTGAATTATTCCCATTTTTTTAGAACTGGGCTAATCAGACAACAGCCGAAGACCACCAAACCCCAGTTCTATAAGCCTGCTACGGAGGCTATCTTACCTCATAGTTGGCCGGGGTAACTCTCCAAGCAGAGGTTGGTAGGGAAGATCGTTACCTTTGTATAAATATCCATTTTTTTCTGTCACAACATATTGATGGGGGTAGCAACAGAAAAAATGGGGCATTTATAGAAAAGTAACGATCTTTCCCACAACCTCTACTTGGAGACTAGGCCGGGTTGGCGATGTTCAGATCCCCCTAAATTCGCCACAGTACGACCAATTCTGCCGAATGCTGCTGTCCACACTACCGGGCAGCCATCTTTTTGGTGTTTACAGCATAGTTAGTCGAGCTGTGGCCGACTTGGGGGATTTGAACATCCCTAACTACGAGATAAAACTGCAGGGAGGCTCGGGATAGACCAAAACCAGGACAAAAGCGGATCATCATGCAGCTGATGGGAAATGTTCAGTTTGGCCAATGTAGCTTTAGGTTTCCACATCTCTTGTACGTTGAGGGCTATGTACATACTAAAAGCAAGAAGGTTTAAAAAGAAACCTCCTTGCTAAAAGACACGAAGAAAAAAGCATGATTCAAGAGTTGCCACCGCTATACTGTAAGTCACTTTATGTTCGCCATAGCAAAAGTTCGCGGTCTGAGAAAAATGGACCTTTGCGGTGGCGGCAGGTGCGGAAGAAAGAAAGTCAGCAAATCATTTGTTCAAGTTTGCAGTACAGAAGTTACCACGAAAACTGTGAATATAGAAGTAGCGCAAAAAAATCCAGATTTCCAGTACTTAACTCGACTTGTTCCAAGGAGGTTACCTTGTTCACACAAGTATCCAAATTTCCAATTGTGTAACATAATTTGAATGTTATGTGCCCCTGTGGTGTATATAACATTAATCCACACTGTAATAATCATCATGTGATAAGCATATGATTGTGTAGGTGGGAACAGGGGACCACAGAGGGGGAGGGGGGCGTGGCACCGTCTACCTTCATTCCTTTGATCGCCCGCCAGCCGTCTTCCACCGTCCTGACGTCGTCATACTCCGTCCTATCGGGCAGCAGCAGCTGGTTCAGAAGCTGCAGCTCCCCACGCTTGTATCGGATTGCCTGTAAGGACATTTCCCCCGCCGAACAAAGAGACAGTACCCTTAAGATGAGATACACGCTATCTCCGAACTGCAAACTTTCCGCGTGGGAAGAAAACACCTAACCTCTGACCTACAGAAAAAAACACACCGACATCTCATCTCGCGAGATTTGGCGTGACATCCGGGAGATTTACCCAGGGTCCCATGCGAATTTCCTACCTGCTTCCTTTGGGGGCCGTCCGTTTTTCACCTTGTATGATATTTATGGTTGAATATGAACAAAAAGCTGCAAATTAAAATGTTTTTATGTGAATAAATATACTGTTTATTGTAAAACAGAAGTTTTGCTGCGTATTGTATGGTTTTGATGGCATGCCTTGGCACGGATGGATAAAGTAAATCAGAGCTCGGTGTAAGTAATGGTTCTCCCCTTATTTTCATTCTGAATGCTGAGGTGAACCTCAACATGGACGGGCTATGCTGCAGAAAACACCACTGATTCGTGTGTTTTCCTCCAACTTCTCGCGGACCGAATGCTCAACATGAAGAAGTTCAACTTCAAGAAGGTTTTGGATGGGCTGACATCGTCTTCTGCCCCACCGGCCAAGCCCGAAACGGAGATCACCGAGACCTTGGGTAGCGAGCATTTCCAAGTTAGCAAGGTAGGCGGTGCTCAGCTCAGGTTGGCTAGGTGGGATTTTTTTTCTTGCGAAAATATAAATATTGCAGATTTCATATTTTCTCTCTAAGATTGCGTGGAGATATTACATGATATTTTCCCAACAGACCGTCCGACATGGCTTCCCGTACCAGCCCACCGCTATGGCGTACGATCCCGTTCAACACATCCTGGCGATCGGTTGCAAGTCGGGTTCTATTCGGCTGTATCCTTCGCCTGCCCCCGAGAGCGGCCCCTCGGTCGCCCGCGAGGTAGATAACTAGGTTTACGGGACGTGGGATGCGGGGGAATGAATCGGACGGGAAGAGCCTCATTGTACAGGTGCACAAAATCAATTCAGAGGATCCCCCCTTTCTCTTTTCATACGGTGTGAAAAAGGGGAGGGGCCCATATTTGCGATGGACCGGGAGATGTTTAAAAACCAAACCAATCATTTCAATAACAAGGCCCCCGCCGATGGTTAGGGCTGGTATTCAGCTACGTGTCTCTCTGATAACAGTCCAATCTGGCGGAATAAATAGCCTTTGACTAAGGCTTTTGAGACATATGTATATGTCTCTGATATTTGTAGAGGCCCAGAACAGGGTTTCCCCATGTTTTCCTACCTTGCTGTATATTAGATTTATTATTGCAGCAGGAACGTACTCTTTTCGCTGATTATATCACCTGTGTGTGCTACTGGTTTGTTGTGTAGAATGATTAGGATGTGATTTTGGAGGAAAAGCAGCCAGATTGAAATTTTGGCAATCGAGGGATCAGCTATGACTCAATGTAGGGCGCATATGATTAGAGACGTTTGATGCCGGCGGATCGGTAGTTTGGTAGCATAATGAAGGGAGGCTCATGAATACAGTGTGCGGAATAAGCCACAATACACTGTGCCGGCTAAAGATTCAGGCCTTCAATGTAGTTAGCCTCCTCTCTCATTACATTACACAAAGGCAGGCGTCCGCTCTGATGACAAGTGCATTGATGTGATTGTATTTTTCACGGAACTGGTTAGGGAATGCACGCGGGGGGTGACATTAACGTGATTGCGGGGAAGAGAAGGGGGGTCGAGTCCCTTCCCCCCGATCTGTCGTTGTCACGCTAATTGTTTTTGGGGACCCCGGCATCGTTAACCTTCCTCCCGCCAGCCTTTAATTTGGTGACCCGGGGTATTGGAGTGTGGTTGCATAAATTGGTTGCGTTGATGACATCATGTAGGACAGCCCAGGTGCAAATACTCCACCTCCTCTAGGCAGGAGATGCATCAAACTCAGGGCTCTAACCAGCACCTGTTTTTCCCTCAATTGTAGGAACTTTGTAACGTGTGACGAAAGAAAAATATTTTAAACCAATCCATCAACCTTGACGGACAAAATTGAGAAAAATCTTAGGCAAAAATATTAAAATACATCCAAATTATATCATAATTTTTACAAAAACTTCAAACCGGTGCCTAGAGCTATTATCTTGCTATGTAAATGGTTGAGAACCAATGTACATGTAATACCAAAGTTGTTTGGAACTAGAAGAAATGATAAAATTGGGTATTGGCAGAATAGAAATGTTCACAAGAGCGTGATGTTCTATAGCTATAGGCTACAACTGTAATTTCTGTTTATCGCTTGGCATGTTTCATTTCATGTGTATATGTAAATTATTGTACTAAGTATATATTTTGTCACTTGGTTATCAATTAAGTAATAAAAAAAATACATCCAAAGGACATCCAACAACCACTCTCAACTCCATGATTTGCCTCTCAAATGTGGGGAAATTGCATTTTTAAATGCTTGAAAATCCCAAATTTGCCCCTGGACCCCCCAAGCTACGTTGTAAGCACTCTTCCCCAGGTCCTATCATGAACCTTGGCTTACAGAAAGAAATTCTGAGCTGGCTAGAGCCCTGATGAAACTACCGTTCAGAATCAGACAGGCAGAAGATACAGAGTACTTCATAACCTAATTTTCAACCGGGCAGGAAAAAACAGTAATGTAGCCTCCTTTAATTGAAATGCTACCTCGTATGATAACATCGCTAATAGATTCAAATCCAATATCTAATTTGTAATTCTTCCAAGTAATCCAGAATTATGGGCCAATACATTTTGCAACCGTTCTATTCCCAGATAAAAGATTATTTATCACATTGAGCTAGATATATTTTTTCTACATTGGTCAGTTTGGCCATGTATTCCGTTCAGTGCGTAGATCGTAGTAATTATTTATGTCCAATCAGATTAAGGCATACATTGCTGGCTGGTTACTGGTGTATGGTCACCAGTTTGAACCGAATAGATCCGGTCTGCGCGTAATGTCCTATAACTTTATGTCCTAATTTTATATACGACATTGTATGACAATGATGTTGTTATCATTTAGCAGTAGCAAACTCTATATCTAATACTATCATGCTCACCAACAAGAATCTTAAGAATTTTTTTCTGCTACAGGAAATCTTTTCTTGTGTACAGAATGGTTTTCTTGCTTCAAGAACAGTTAGCTCTTACTAGTCTTAGTTCAAGAAATATTTTCTTGTGGAAAGAATCATTTTCTTGCTATGTACAGCAAGAAAACTAAAAAAAAACACATGTGTGTCTTGAATTTTCTTGCTTTGGGGATTTTTTAATTTCTTGTTCAAAGAAAAATTTCCTGCTACTAGATACAATTTCTTTGTACAAGGAAAAACAAGGAAAAGCATTTTTGGTAGTGTACTAGTACATGTAGCTTCATGTACTAACTTTGCATATTGTCATGAATAAGAAGCAGCAAAATTTATATGACTTATTGAAGCACCTTTGGCAGTGTGTATAGTCAGGTCGTTAGCCACCCTGCCTCAGGACCAAGGGGTTAGGGGTTTGAATTCTTTGTTGTTTATCCAACATGCACGCTACTGGAAATGGTTGCAGTCCTTAGGACGGAACGTTAAGCTATGGTCCACTGTTCATTGTGCTAGTATGTCTCTTGCAGATATTTCTGACTAGAGGAGGGAAAAGGACGTACTACTACTAGTAGTTCAGGCTCAGAATTAATTTTTGGGAATAGGTGCACCCGAAAAATATAAGTTAAAATAAGAATGTTAGGAAATGTTTGATTTCTACAGAAAAGCACTTCTACATTGATTATATTATTTTTCTGACACTTAGAATTTACAAATATGCTGTATACTACTACACGTTTAACATATTATGTAAACCTATGAAAATATTTAGGTACACTGGTGCAGCCTCAGAAAAACATTGGGTGCACTAAGGTGCACACGAATCCAGCATTTCAAGCCCTTTAGTCGGTACAAATTTTTTTCAGTTTCATTTTTATTGCCATTTGAAATAAAATCTACTACGACTTCTTGCTTGGTATTATTTTTTAAGGCAGGTCAAAACTTTAAATAACTAACACATTTGGAGTCCACATGTTGGTCACTCTGCAATTTCAAACTATAATTTTGTATAATACAAAAACCTTGCAAAATAAAAATGTCAATTGTTTCAACGTCCCAAGGGTGGCTTTTAAAAGCAAACAAAATATTGACTTTAGGGCTTATGGCAATCTGAGCATAAATGATTAAGAAGGTAAGTTAATTTGACAAACCTTGTTTTATGGAATGTCTAACAGTGATTTTGATTTGGAAATTCCATTAATTTATCATTGTTAAAAATTGAAAGGAATAATGTACGTAACAGCATTTGCCATAATTTTTTATTTATCAAAGAAGGTTGCTGATAAAATAAAGTATTCTAAGGCCACACCAATTTAATTTGTTGGTTCTCGGATTCGCCTCTTCGTTTTTTTCTGATTTGCAAAAAAAAAAAAATAAGTA